TAGGCACCACAACCAGCCAGTCTGTCTATAAGTTCTTTTGACTGCAATCATGGTGTTCTGGAGAATGTGGTATGTAATGTCATCTTCCATACTTCAGATTAATCCCTTTTTTTTTTTACATGACTGTTTGCAGTTTATTCCAGCACACACTGAACTATTATTATTCAGCTAACACCGATAGATGGATAACAAACAATCAGGGCCCCTGGTGTGTAATTAATCCCTTTTTAAAGATTTATTTATTATGTATATAGTGTTCTTCCTGCACACCAGAAGAAGGCACCAGAGCTGTGAGCCACCATGTGGTTGCTGGGAATTGAGCTCATGTCCTCTGGAAGAGCAGCCAGTGCTCTTACCTACTGAGCCATCTCTCCAGCTCTATTTAAGAGTCTTGATGGGCCACACAGAGAAACCCTGTCTTGAAAAACAAAAACTAAAATGAATAAAAAAAATGAGTCTTGGTGCAGATGGGTCTCTTTGTTTCCGGAAAGTCACATTTACACTCCTCCAGCAGCATTTGTTTCTCCAGTGCTATGGGAACACTTTGGGCAGCCTTGCTTAAAATAAAATTGTGAGAGGAACAAATCAAAGGCTGCCTGAGCTACAGGGTGAGTGTAAGGCTAGTCAGGACCATTTAGTCAGAGTCTTGTCTCCAGAAACAAAAGGTAAAATGGAAGCTGGAGATTCAGCTCAGTGGTACAACCCTGGCCTACCCCACCCAAAAAAAGTCATGTAATTTCACTGATGTGTTGGATACAAAAATAAAAGCAAAATTACCATGGTTGCTAGAGTATGTTAAGTCTCAAACCCTGGGACAAATGGCTGAGGTGCCTATTTAACATATCAAATCAGATCTGACCAACAGGTTATCTCAGCATCCTTCAGTCCTGACCACTGCAGATTATGGCTGGCATACCCCACCCCACCCTAAACTTCTGCAGCCCAGGGGAGGGGTGTCCTTCCCCAGCAGCCCTTTCATATAGAGTCCAATCATTTTAGTTACCCACCCTCTTTGGGCCTCCTGGCTGCTATGCCTGGTTCTTCTCTCTCCTGTTTCCCTTGTCTTTGCAAGCACAGGGTCATGACCTCCCTGGACTTTCCCAAATGTCTCTGTTTCTGCTTCTGGACATGCTCTGTCTTATAATCTACATTAAACTTTCTCCTCTACCATACCTAGGAACAGTCATGTCCTTTCCTTTTTATTTTTTATTTTTTTCATTCAGGGTAGAAGTGTGTGTGTGTGTGTGTGTGTGTGTGTGTGTGTGTGTGTGTGTGATGGTGTTGTGTAATAACTTCTCAGGAGGGTTAAGTCTTTGTTCAATTACTGGATTGGGAGAAATACTTAAAACAGATTTTTTTTTTTCTGGATACCTCCTACCCTGGAAAACAAAAACAGTTTTTCTGAGTCTGTTCTGGCTGTCCTCTGCCTGCCTCTGCCTCCCTAGAGCTGGGATTAAAGGCATGCACCACCATCGCCCAGTTTAGGACTTTTTTAAACATTTATTTTATGTGTATGGGTGTTTTGCCTGCATGTGTCTGTGTACCATGTACAGTGCCCACAGAAGCCAGAAGAGGGCATCAGATTCCCCTGGAACTGGTGTTGCTGATGGTTGTGAGTCACCATATGAATGCTGGGAATTGAACCCAGCTCCTCTGGAAGAGCAGCCAGTGGTCTAAACTGTGGAGCCATCTCTCCAGACCCCATGTGGAGAAATCTTAAGACTGCTATGATGAATAGAGTTAAAATGCATATCCTTCATCAAGATTTAAAAACATTTAAGGATTTATTTCATGTGTATGAGTGTTTACCTGAATGTATGTCTATGTACCCCGTGTGCATGCTTGGTGCTGCAGAGATCAAAACAGTGTGTCAGATCCCTGAATGAAGTTATAGACAGTGAGCTGTCATGTGGGTGGTGGGAACTGAACCTGGGTCTTTTTGCAAGAGCAACAAGTACACTTAATTGCTGAGCCAACTCTCCAGACCCCTTCATCACATTTTAGAAGGAACATTTTGTGGGACTGAGGACTTAGCTCAGTGATAAGGTACTTGCTCAGCTAGTGTGAGGTCCGGTACAGGATGATGGTGGGAAGTGGGGGGACGGTTCTGTCATGTTGCCTTTTAACTATGGCTTCAAATTCTAAAGGAGTCCATACATAGAGGAGAGTCTGCTTTATGATCACGTCATCCCTGCTCTGGGGATTTGAAAGCCAGGGTCAGACAGGTAACAGGTGATTTCTTGGCTTCCTTCTAAATATAGATTCTTGGACTCTACCATCCCCAGCACAGCTCCACAATGACATGGCCCTGGGATCCAGCTGGGGATCCCTTTCTACTCGACAACTTCAGAGCACCTACCATGTGTGAGGTACCCTCCTGGTGGCTGTAGATACAGTACTGAAGGTCCCAAGATCCTTGGTGTCTTGGAGAGGGAGATAAACAGCAAACAGACAAGAGAGGGAGTGACAGGAGGAGGCAGAGGGAGTGGCTGTCGTAAATCATAGGGTCAGCTTACATTTTTAGCAGAGGTGGGGCAGCCAGTGGCATGGACATCTGGGAGAACAGCATTCCAGGTAGCAGAAATGGCAGGTGTAGAAATAAGACTGGGGGGCAAATTGGAAGGGAACTGAGGAGGCCAGTGAAGCCAGAGTGAAGGGAGGGCCAGAGTGGGGTGGGTAGAGCAGGGACAGGGTGGAGTTGGCCCAGGTGGCTGTGGCTTGCACAACGACTTGGCTTTCGCTAGTGAAATGGAAACCACTGGATGGGTTGAGCTGTGTTCAAGGAATGTTGACCATCCCTCATAGGAGGAGGGAGTTGGGAGGACAACCAGGGCATGGCTGAGGTTCCCCATTCTCTCTCCCTCTGGGCCCTCTCCCAGCTGTTTGTAATCCTGCCCCTGCTGTAGGATGCCTCTGGATGCAAGAGAGTACAGGGGGAAGGCTATCTGAAAGGGGGACCGTGGCTGTGCAGCCACCAGGGTATCATCCATGCTAGAGTGAGACTTTTTGATGATGCCCCCATGCTCCTGTAAATAGTCTAATAAACTCACCAGCTCACCAAGTCAGGCTTGGGTAGAATTGTTTACCAAGTGAAGTCAAAGTCAGAAGAGGCCACTAGTTAATGGACACATGGACTGAGACACACCCTGTCCCACTCTCCGAAGAGAGACCCTGACTTCTCCTGACCTTAGCTCCTATCTAGGAGATAGTTGCAAGGTTTTAGCTCAGCGGTTCTCAACCTCCTTCACGATATGGTTGAATACAGTTCCTGGAGTTGTGGTGACCCCAAACAAAAAATTATCTTCATTGCTACTTCGTAAGTGTAATTTTGCTACTGTTATGAATCATAATGTAACTATTTGATATGAGATCCCTGTGGGGCCATGACCCACAGGTTGAGAACCACTGTTTTAGCCAGTCTGCTTTCTTCCTGTACTGATCCCTGATCCCATTGGTATGGATAGGGATAGAGGGGATTAATGAGATGGGATGTGCACAGAGGCCTGATTATTTGAAGTAGAATTATCTCTCTCTGGAAACCCATGTAAGGGTTTTTTTTTTGGCATCCACCTATTTTGAGCCTTAAACTCTGTGAGAGTCACTGACTCTATGCAAGCCCAGGCAGAAATGGAGCCAGTCTCCACTCCAAGAATCAGGGCCCTGTAGGTCACACACGGGGCCTTGTTAGTCCTTGGGGACTTGGCTGACTCTGTCCCCACATGAGCACCATGAGCCCCTATTCCTACCCTTTAAAGCATCTGTCATGGTTGGACTCTACACTGATTACTCAGTCGGTTTTTGTCTCTCACTCCTAATCTAGAAGCTGCCAAGTGTGTGTGTGTGTGTGTGTGTGTGTGTGTGTGTGTGTGTGTGTGTGTTATTGTTGTCTGTTTCCTTCCAGGGCACCAGATGAATGAACGAAGAGATGGTGGAGGAGGGCTGTTACTGTGAATTCCTTTCTCACAGGCAATAAAACAGAAGCCCAGACAGACAGGAAGTCGGAGTGCTCAGCAAACAGGTGTCTGCTTTCTGGCTCAGTTTCTGCAACCCGGAGCACCCAAGAGCAAGGGACTGTACCCAGGGGCTTCAGCAGTCTCTTCATCTTGTCTCTGCTCCTCTGAGGGAACTGCAGACTCAGATCCCAGCCCTAGATGTGAAACTAGTTCCAGAAAAGGCTCCCAGGGCAGAAGCAGGGGCAAGGGACAGCACCTATTAGTTATTAACAGTAGCCGACAGCTATTAAGTATAATAGCAAGTGGGCACACCTTTAATCCCAGCACCCAGGAGCCTGAGGCAGGAGGCTAGCCTGGTCTGAAGCTATGTATAAACAATAATAGCACTTTTAAGGTACCAGATCTCATTGCTTTCCAAGACAAGATCTCACTATATAGCCTTGGTTGGCCAGGGATTTTCTGTGTAGACCAAGCTGCCTCTGCCTCCTGAGTGCTAGGTTTAAAAGTGTATTCCTGCCTGGCCTCCACGCAGTTTTTTTTCCAGCCCATGCCATCAGGTTCTGGCTGTCCTTGTACAACTGCAGATGCCACACAGCCACCATACCCAGCCTTGTGTTCCAGCCCTGCGTACCCATTGGTCTGAATTCCACATCTCTGGATTGGGATCATTAAATGGCTAGTCTATAAGGTTGCCACGAGATAATACACTCAGAATTTCTGGCCCCAGAGCAAAGTAAATGTTCAATAAATGTTAATTATTGATACTCTAATTATTCTTTTGAGTGTTCCTGGGCCCAGGAGGGAGGGCTGCAGCAAGGCAGTATCTTTGCGCTGTGTGAAGTGAGGTCACCCACAGGGATTCTAGCTGTACTACACCCAGCCTAGAGAACAGCAGCTGGCCAAAGTTTTGGAGGCTGAAGTCTCATGCTCCGCCCCTCCAGACTTTTAACAGCCAGAGGAGCGGGAGGCCCGCGCCGGCGCAGATAACACAGACTGGCCCAGGCCTTTCGCAGCGGGTTCCGAAGTGCCAGCCCCACTGCGTTCGGGCATGGAGGGGCGCGTGAGCCCCGTGGGCTCGTCCCACAGCATCCCCGCCGCGGGCGTGCTGTTCCGTGGCCCCGTAGAGCCTGTCGTCTTCCTGGCCAACTTTGCTCTGGTCCTGCAAGGCCCGCTCACCACGCAGTACCTGTGGCACCGATTCAGCACTGAGCTTGGCTACAATGGCACCCGCCACCGGGGGAACTGCGGGAACCAGAGCGCGGACCCCATCATGAAGGTAGCGGGAACCAGAGCAGCTGGGAACGCGGAGCACGGCACGGGGCGGGGCCTGCCGAAGATGGGGTCCCCGAGAGGGGACGCACGTGGCGTGGTGGGCAGGGCCAGCGCCAAAGGGCCCTATCCAGGCTGACGACAGCCTTGGGGTGCAGGGAGTCGGGCTAGAGAATGCCTGGCCTGGAGAGTTAATTTAAGACCAAGGGAATGCTTCTCCAGCGTCTGTTTTTACAAGTTCAACGAACATTCTAGGGCTCCAAAGTAAGGCCTCAACCCTGTAGCTCCCTGGATTCTGAAGGTAGCTAACCAAAGTGAGGGCCTGAGCCCTGGCGATTCTGTCTTTACAGGAAGTGGAGACCCTGACTTCCCACTGGACCCTCTACATGAACGTGGGAGGCTTTCTGGTGGGACTTTTCTGGTCCACCCTTCTGGGAGCCTGGAGTGACCGCGTGGGTCGCCGCCCACTGCTGGTGCTGTCCTCTCTTGGCCTGCTGGTCCAGGTCGTGGTGTACATCTTTGTGGTGCAGCTACAACTGCACGTCGGCTTCTTCGTGCTTGGCAGAGTTCTTTGTGCCCTTCTAGGAGACTTCAATGGCCTCCTGGCCGCTAGCTTTGCCTCTGTGGCAGATGTCAGCTCTAATCACAGTCGCACCTTCCGCATGGCTCTGCTGGAAGCATGCATTGGTGTGGCTGGGACCCTGGCAAGCCTTCTCGGGGGTCATTGGCTCCGGGCCCAGGGTTATGCCAACCCCTTCTGGCTGGCTTTGGCCCTGCTGATCGTCATGACCCTGTATGCAGCATTCTGTTTTGGTGAAACAGTAAAGGAGCCAAAGTCCACCAGGCTTTTCACTCTCCACCATCACCGAGCCATTGTCAAGCTGTATGTGGTCCCAGACCCAGAGAAGTCCAGGAAGCATATAGCCCTGTACTCATTGGCCATCTTCGTTGTGATCACTGTGCATTTTGGAGCTCAAGACATCCTGACACTCTATGAGCTGAGCACGCCCCTCTGCTGGGACTCCAAGCTGGTTGGCTATGGCTCCGCAGCCCAGCATCTACCCTACCTCACTAGCCTGGTAGGCCTAAAACTTCTGCAGTACTGCCTGGCAGACACCTGGGTGGCTGAGATTGGCCTGTCCTTCAATATCCTGGGCATGGTAGTCTTTGCATTTGCTACGACCACACCCCTCATGTTTACAGGTAAAGTGACAACACCCATCCATTCATTGCCCCCAAATGTCCTTCAGGCCTGTGTCTTTGGGCCCAGAGTTACACTCTCAGCCTGTTCAGAGGACAGACAACTGAGAATCCCCGGGGGGGGGGGGGAAATACCATGTCTGATAGAAAATATAGAGCTTCAGTAGCCAAAGTAATTAATACATGTTATCAACCACGAATGTTGTTAGGAATGTAGAGCAAAAGACAAAAGCATAGCTCATAAGCTAATTGCTTCACCCCTTGGCCTCCTATAGCTTGTTTACGGTGCTCTTAAGCAAAGTCCATGCTAGTTATTAATGTCTTGTTCCTTGGCTCTTGGATAAGAATCACAGGGCCTCCCTCCCTCAAGGATCTCATATGTTTAGAGACAGGCTTAGACTTGGCCAAAGATGACTTTGAACTTCTTCTGATCCGCCTGCCTTTACCTCCTAGATCCTAGAATCACATGCATTAATAACCTTACTCTACCTTCTTTTGCATTTATTGTTAATTTTGTTTGTTTTTTGTTTGTTTGTTTGCTTGTCTTTAAGACAGGATTTCTCTGTGTAGCTTTGGAGCCTATCCTGGCACTCGCTTTGTAGACCAGGATGGCCTCGAACTCACAGAGATCCACCTGCCTCTGCCTCCCAAGTGCTGGGATTAAAGGAGTGTGCCACCACTGCCTGGCTTTCTCTAAAATTTCTGCTGATTCATTTCATCTTCCTTCCGTTCCCCTTGCTGCTGGTCCCTTCCCTACTCACTGGCTAGAGAATGAAGAAGTTAACTTTATTTTAAAAAGGTGAATATTCTGCTAGAGACTGGAACTGCATTGTGCAGAGTCATCTGTTTGATAGCAGCAGCTGTGTTAACTCTGCTGCTAGACTGACAGTGAAGTCGAAGGGACTGGGGACCATTTCACCAAAGGCCACGGCCCTGGAAAGTGCTGAGATAAAGATGCTGAGCCAGACCCTCAGCAGAATCGCCTACATTTGTATGCCTAGAGGATGCCAGGAGCAAAGTAACTCACGTGCTATGCCCTCAATACATGCCCTTCACAGGTGTCACCCCTCATTCCAAGGTGGGCATAGCAGATTTCCATACACCCAGGGGCTTAAACAACAGAGAAACATGCTCTCAGTGCTACAGGCCAGAAGTCCAGGATCAGAGTTACTGGGCTGAAATCAGAACATCACAGGGGCACTGGGAGGGAAGCTGTATCCCATTTGCTTGAGGCTGCCGGTGGAAGGCCTCTGAGACTGGTCGCCTGGTAAAGGAGAGCCTCTCTTAAGGTCCTTCCTGATTGCACCTGTAAAGACTCATTTTCCTTAGAAGACAGTTCTCAGGTTTAGGGCCTGTCTTAGAGGCTGTTAGTCAATCCCCGACACTGTAGAACCATCTTCTGATAGAGACCTCTGGCTTTCCTGTTTCAGGCTAGGAGATGGGTTCAGGGAAGTCCATTAGACAAGGTCACACATACACTAAGTAAGGGTACCAGGGTTTGAACTCAGGGCCAACTCCAAAGCCCATGCTCACTTTCTGGGTCCTGGCATCTCCTTTCTAGTGCCAAGTGACCACCAAGGGTATTCCAATAAATCCATCGGTAGGGCTTAGCTCTCGTTTAGAAAGAGTGAGCAGATAGATGAGCCTGGAGAATACTGCTGTCCTTTCCTCTTGGGCCCAACGCCTGTCCCTCCTGGGCTGTATGTATGTATGTATGTATGTATGTATGTATGTATGACAGCTGTGCTGCTGTCAGATTCCTGCTGCTGTCCGTGGTCTCTTTCCTGACCAGTGTTTCTCTCTGCAGGGTATGGGTTGCTTTTCCTGTCATTGGTCACTACACCTATCATCCGGGCCAAGCTCTCCAAGTTGGTGGGCAAGTCAGAGCAGGGTGAGTATCAGGGTCAGTCTGTACCTGGTCCCTCATGTCCGATGTTGCCTGGATGGGCAGTTCTGGTCAAGGATGGACTGCCTTCTACCCTCACACCTGGAGGAGTAAGTAGCCAAGACAGATTCACACTGCCATGTGCTCAGAGCTGGCTAGAGGCGGATGCTGTGGGTTTTTGTACCACACAACTAAGGTTGCTATCAGTAGAGCATGATCAAGTTCTTTCTGAGTAACCACAGCAGAGTTTATCTCTTCAGACCTGTCTTTTTCATCTGAAAAGTGGGTGTGATAACACCAGTGTTTCCTGCTGGGGTCAGAGTATACCAGCCTGGAGGTAATTAACAACCTGTGCCATAGATGAAGAAGCAGAGGGCTAGAGGGTTAAATTGAGTTCTTCAAGGTTGCACAGTAAATAATGGGATGGGGGTTCATGCATATGTATTTGTGTTCACATATATGTGGCGTCGGTGTCTTGAGGAAAATGGAGTCTTTCACTTGGGCAGTCTCATGGATTTCCTGTCTCCACCTCTCAAGCACTGGGATTACAGGTGCCCGCCACTCTCACCTAAGTTTCATGTGGGTGCAGGGCATCCGAACTCTGGTCCTCATGGTAACATAGCAAGTGCTTCATCCACTCATCGAGCTACACACACACACACACACACACACACACACACACACACACACACACACACACGAATGAATGTAATAATCCTTGTGATCCCAGCATTTGAGGCTGAGGCAGGAGGATTGCAGTGTAAGGGCCACCTGAGCCACATAGGAGACCATTTCTTAAACCAAACTGGGGCTGCAGAGATGGCTCAGTAGTTAAGAACACTGGCTGCTCTTCCAAAGGACCTGGGTTCGAGTGCCACGTGATGACTCACAACCATCTGTAATTCCAGTTCCAGATATTCTGACGCCCTTCTCTCGTTTCCAAGGGCACCAGGCATGCACATGGCACAGAAGCTTACATGCAGGCAAAACACCCATACACAAGCCAGACGTTGGTGGCAGCACTCCCAGCACTCCAGAGGCAGAGGCAGGTGAATCTCTGTGAGTTCCAGGCCAGCCTGGTCTACAGAGTGAGTTCCAGGACAGGCTCCAAAGCAATATAGAGAAACCCTGTCTCGAAAAACCAAAACAAACAAAAAACCACTCATATGCATTAAATAAAGTGATAATTTTTTTTTAAAGTGAAAAGTACCACACAGGCTTTTCTGGGAATTTAATAAGTTAACAGCTATGTATCTAATAGCCCCTCTGCCAGGCGCTTCCCATATATAGCTTCATTGCATCTTTACAGGTAAGGGTGACCAAATGTCTCACCCCAGATCATGCAGCTATGATGTGACACTGCCCTCATTTGACCCTGGGTTTTTCCAACCGTGAAGCATGGTATTTATTCCCTCACAGGAGCTCTCTTTTCTGCGGTGGCCTGTGTGAATAGCTTGGCCATGCTGACGGCCTCTGGCATCTTCAACTCACTCTACCCAGCCACTCTGAACTTCATGAAGGGCTTCCCCTTCCTCCTGGGAGCTGGCCTCCTCTTCATCCCGGCCATTCTGATTGGGTAATGGAGGGCCCTGACCTTGCTTGCTCCTTGTGGTGTCTTACTCTCCTAGAGGCTTCCTCTTTCCCCCAACTAAAAATGGCAGCTTTGCTCCTGGAGCGCTTGTCCTTTAGGTCTGTCATCCAGAACTGACCTTACCCCATGCAGGTGGGTGCCTGATCCTATCTCCAGAGGGAGGTGAATGGACATGTGGCCAGGGGCCAAGCTAATACTACTAGACAAGGCTGTGTCCTGCCCTCTCCATCAGGCCCCCTCAGCCTATCCCATCCCCATGTTGCAGCAAGGACCGCAGTGGACAAACTGTTAATAGAAAGAGAGCTTACTTGGCTACTTGTGGCTGACCCTAGAACAGAAGAGTTCTCCTGTCGGCTTGGGAGGGGAGGCACCTGCAGCTGCCCACCTAAGTCAGTCCCATGTCACCTTTCCAGACTGGGGTTGGGGACTCCCCATGCCAATTCTGAACCATCTCTCTGGTCTCTCGCAGAGTCCTGGAGAAGGCTTATCCAAGCCCTGAATTCCAGCAGTTTTCTCAGAGTTCCTGATCTGCCAGAAGCCATGAGGAACGGTGGACCTGCCCCAGCTGGCCTTCTGAAGGCAATACTCACTTTTGACTGGTCAAGCCAGTTATGGACTGCACCTGGTCTCCCACTGAGCCAGCCCCTGCATAGGATCTGTAGTCTAACCAGGACAGGCCCACTCAGGGCAGGCTGCAGGGGGTCATCTGAGGCAAGGGTGTCTTCTCCCTGTAAGCCATTCATCATTTAGAAGCTTCCAGAGTGAAGGAAATGGCACCTCAGGGACCAAGTTAAGCATGAGACCTAACCTCTCCCTCAGGCCCATGACTAGGTCCCTGACATGTGCAATGACCTCCAGTCACCCCAATGATAAGTATGATACTGGTTGAGAATCAGCCCTCGACCTCAGCCTACTCTCCCTCCACCTCAGCCTACCCACCCTTGACCCAGTAAATCATTTGAGTCAGACTGAAGAGTCACTGGGCTTTGGGCCTTTCTGTCTTCTTGCTTGTGGCCTGTTTGTTACAGACACCAGCAGCTGCTGGTCCGGAGTTCTTGAGTTGCCTGTGGGATTAGAACCTGGCATGCTCCAAGCTCCAGCTCTCTAAGCTGCTGAGGGGTAAAAGGCGTGTGAGGCCTTAACAGAGCAGTAGAGACACTTGGACCCGAGCGTGGTGGCTCCTTTCTGTGGGATCTCTTTTGGCTGCCTTTTGGCCCTCCCATGAATATCTGAGCAGGTGCTGAGCAGGGCCATGCACTGAGGTCATCCTCCCTGCTTCCATGAGTGAGTGGGGGTTGGAAAGACCTGGGCACATAGCTCAAAGGCAGACCTGACCTATTGTGAAGCCACTGTTTTGGGGAACTGGCAGTCTTCTCCAATCCAACCCACAGTGGGAGTTTTGTGATTCTTCAAACCAGAACTATCGGTGAGAGCTAGACCCTGCATCTGCACCTACCCACCTACCCTGCAAGGCAGTTTCCCTGCTGGAAACCATGCAGGTGAAAGAGAAGTCTCCCAGGGAAACTTCTGCTGCCACACTCCTGCCTCACTGCCCCTCCCCCTCTGGAGATGGAAACTAAGCAAGAAGTAGCCTTCCACTGACCCTACCATTGTGAGACTGTGAGGAGGGAAAAGCTCCGCTCTGGAACCTTGATCTTGAATAAACCTAGTGAAAACTGGGTCAGCAGTCTGCCCAAACTATCTGGTTACAAGGGCCACACCTAATTGGATGTAGGGAAGCACAGTGGTTAGATGCTCTAGATCCCCTCTGCCTTCATACATCCAGGGATGAGATGCCTAGTGAAGGATGAACCAAGGGCTGGATTCTCGCCCTCTTAATGTCCCTGAACAGTTCATTGCCCACTAGAGAGGGGTAGGTGGTGTAACTAGTGACTACCCTGACTCATCCCCAGCCTGGGGGCAGCAGCTACATAGCCCAGACAGGCAGAAAACCCTGAACCCACAGACCGTGCAAGCTCAGGCAGCTTGAAGGCTACTGAGGAGCCTGTCTTGAGGTCGCTGTGGTCAGCCATGATTGGTAGAAGTCAAGGCCCACTCGCTGTCTCTGTATACATTCTGAGGTGTGTGTTACCACAGAGCATAGTGCCTCGCTAGAAGAAGCTTGATGCCTATATCCTGGCTGAGACCAAAGGCTGTGCTCTGGTTCCCCAGGAAGACCAGTAGGGATAGGTCAACAGAAGGCCAGACTGGAGGTAGTAGTGACATGTGTCCCAACAGGGACCTCTGGAGAGTGTGCACTGAAGATAGACAGAACGTTTCCCCAGGGGGAACTCATACACTGTATTGTCATTGACTTTGTCATCAAGGGCACCATTCCATCTGCCTCACCTCAGAACAGGATGTAGGGTTGGCACTGGTGACAGGACCAGAACTACAGATAGTCACAGCCAGAGGCTAGCCACGACCTTTGGAAGATGGGGTCATTGTCAGGAGGGACAGTGGAAGGGAGGTGTCCCTAAGCCTGCAGAGAGAGTCCTTTGGCTTTCTAACAGTGGCAATTAGGCAAGGAACCTGGCCAGCTCCAGAAAAGGTGTGACCAACCACACTGCCCCCCAGAAGTCAGTTGCAGGATGGTACCAGCTGACTCCAAGCTGAACCTGGGTATTGGCAAGAGCTGACCTTCTTGCCCTCCTTGTCCAGTGGAGAGGGATATGGGACAGTCCTGCCCAGTTATTTCAGTATGCTCCTGCTTGGCCTTTTGGCTAAGACCCACCCTGTACAGCTAAGTTCTTTGGGGCCAGGGAGAGGCTGCTACCCAGCTTGGGCCCACAGTCTCTAGGATGAGTCTCAGGAGAACAGGTCTGGACACTGTGATGCTGAGTGCCACCAATGACTTGGGGACCTAGGCCTATCAGTCAGCCACTCTTCTCTGTAAAACTGGGGTAACAGGACTGGAAAAGGCTGCTATGAGGGTTAGGGACCAGAGTGGGGATGTTTGGAACATGGCAGGGACTGGCGGGGGCCCCTAGTTCACTTGGGAATCTGAAGACCATGGTGGCTCAGGTGCTTCCCACATGGCCTACTCTGTGTTTTGATAAGATTCCCAGTGGATGTGGACACACTTCTGCAGGAGAAACTGCCCCAGGCTCTGGCATTTGCCCGCAGAGGTCCTGCCTCTTTCCCATGGTGTGTGTCCTGCTCAGGCTACTGGTGCTACTGCAGCTTCCCTGGTCTCTTCTGAGCAAGAGGGTGCCAAGCCCTGTGTGGGTGAGGAGCTGGGGAAGCCAGGTGGAGCAGGGTAGGCAAGAGCCTTAGGCACAGCACAGGGTTTTGGGCTAGGGTGGGTTCTTAGGGTCTCCCTGCACAAGCAAGGGGCCCCTTCTTGCACCAGAAAGGGCAGCAAGGCCAGGCAGAGGTTCGGCTCTGACACCCTGACTCCCAACATGGGAAAGGAGGCTGCCTAAAGAAATCTGGTAGGGGGTACCAGATATTACAGAGCAAAGCCATGAGGCAGCAGGAGTCCAGGTGAGGCAGGGGCCAGGCACAGTGTGAGTGGACAGTCTTTGGGGGATCCTCAACCCCAGATGCTGCCTGGGCCCAGGTAGAGGGCTTAGGCATTGTTCTTACTCCTGCCAGAGCCTACCAACCTTACCCTACTCAAGCTGGCTGCTCTTGGGGCAGGAGACGGGAGAATGTCCTTCCCCTAGCTTGAGTGTCCATAACTAAGCAGGGCCATGGCTCTGGATGTGAGTTGGAGCCTGCAGGCAGGGCCTGACAGAGGAGTGTCCTTTCATCTAACCCCGTGCCTGGCATCTCTGGTTAAAAGTGGGCCACAGGGTGGCAGCAGGGAAAGCCATTTCCTGAGAAAAGTCTGGTTTGTCTTAGCCCAGGAAGGCTCTAGAGGAGCTATTCCTTTAGGGGTGGGGAGATGATTGGACCAGGAGTCACAGCAGGGTGTGGGAACTGGGGACAAGTTAAGGCAGGCCCATTGGTGCAGCTCCCTCCAAACTGGTATCAGAACCGGCAGAGGAGTCTTGAGAGGGGCGGCCCTGCAGGAAGCGGATGATCTTCTCAATGGTGGCTTCTTGATACTCGTGGGACCATCTATGGACACAGAGGCCAAATGGGTCAGAGGGGTGGGCAGAGGCTGCTGTAGGCCAGTGCTATTTGGTTTTGGGGTGTATACACACCCCCTACACACAAACATACACACACACAAGATAGAGAGGGGGGAGGGAGGGTACACACACAGTACACATAGTACACACACACACACAGCTCCTTCCTTAACTCTCCCTAGGGCCCTGGGCTTACTTGATGCCATTGAAGGTGAGTACAGCCTGCATGTCCTCAGGCAGTGCCTGAGGCTCGGGCCACTCAAAGCCATCAATAATGGGCACAATATTCTTGCCACAGCTTAAAGCTGTCACAATCTCCTGGGAAAAGAAAGAGAAACAGACTGTTATGGTTTGATCTTGAATAACCCTTTTGAAAGCCCATGCCTTGGATGTTCAGTCCCCAGAAGTGCTGTTGGGAAGCTGCAGAGACTTCAGGAAGTAGGTCATAGAGGGCAGGAGGGGTATCCCTGGGAAGGCACAGCAGGACCCTGCCCCTTCCCCACTCTGTGCCTCCTAGCCACCATGGATCAAGAGCTCAGAGACCATGGACCAAAGTGAATCTTCCTCCCTTTTCTTCTCTTTCTCTCTCTTTTCTTTTTCCCCCCTAAGACAGGGTTTCTTTGTGCAACAGTCCTGGACGTCCTGGAACTCACTCTGTAGACCAGGCTGGTCTGGAACTACAAAGATCCTCCTGCCTCTGCCTCCTAAGGGCTGGAATTAAAGATGTGCACCATCACTGCAATTCCTACCGTTTCTGTTGATTTTCTTGAGTGTTTTATCATGTGATGGAGATCTGATTGACACAGGACTTTCATCCCACACAATGGCCCTGGAGCCACCAAGCATGAGAGGACCCCTCAGTCTGAGATTGAAGGGCAAGACACTGGTTCTATATTATACCCTGACTTCTCTCAGCTTTCATGGTCTTTACCCTGGAACAGGAAGGCTTAGAGCATCTAAAACTATTGGAGTCTCCTGAGGGTAATTTTACTATTGCAATGATCCTAGACAGAGGTCAGCTGGGGGGGGAGTGGCCTAGAAAATTCCTGGTGGGGGCTGGGCACCAACCAGGAAGACCAAGGGCAGCATGGGGCTTAGGATTTTTGAGGTGCACCCACTTTTCAGGAGGGGCTGCAGATGAGTTCAGTGCCAGTAGCCACAGTTTCATCATCCCTTAGACCACTGTGGAGATGGATTTGTTCATTGCTCATTTATTGTTTGTGGAGCCCAGAAATCATGAATCCAACATGTTGAACACTGAGCTACTTAACACTGTTGGGTTTTTTTTATTTTACTCTGATTCAAATGGGATGGGTTCTTTCCTCTTGGAGTAAAAACTTATTATATTTTACAGGAGCCCTCAGCTGAGAGACTTTGGGCTTCTAAAGAGATATTGAATATTTTCAAAGAGAGTGGACTTAAGTTTTAAATTTTTAGGCATCAGAGTTTTAAAAGTTGGAATTTGTTTTATATTGTGATACTGATATTAATGAGATCTTGGAGATAAACAAAAAAGTTATGGTCTAACAGTGATGTGCTA